CTTTCTAATTACTGAGAGAGTTCAGCTGGTGTCTTGGCTTTCCATGCCTTTTTACACCTCCCTTCATGTGTTCAATACTAAAGCCATTGTTTTATGGATAAAATAATCAACATGCACTATGGGAGATCTTGTCAATTCCGGATTTGAAGCAGCTTATTTTAAGACATTGATACATATTTTAGGGTCTCGTGGGCCACATAAAATGTTGTGTTGGGCCACATTTGGCCCGCGGGCTATGAGTTTGACCCTTTTTATATGAAGAAAATCAGTTTCTAACCCTGTTTACATGACTTTAACGCAGAAAATCTGACATAAACAAGCCGAGATCCTCGTGAGTTCAAGTTAGATGGATTTCTTTCTGATGTCCGACCGACACAGAGCTAAAATTTTATGTAGTAGCTGAGAGTGATTCACAGCATGTAAGCTCTAACAAATCATGTGAGATCAGACTGTGTTTCATGTTATTTACAAGATTCATCAAGAATAGCTTTAACTGCTTCATTTCTCAGTTGGATAAAAGTAATTGTGTTTGAATCTGTGTGAAATAAAAAGAAAATAAAAGATCATATTATTTAAATCCACATTTCTATAAGAAGTGCTTTAATGTTTCAGATCAGTTCCTCATTTGACTTTTGATCTGAAGCAGCAGCCCCCCCCCCCGTTATTTCCCCTGAAGCAAATGTGAAACATGTTTGTGGTTGTTAACCATGCTTTATGGGAATACACAACAGATTTTTTTTTGCTCTTGCAGAAAGGCTGCAGAGTTAATGTGATTGTTTCTGTGCAGATCTGTGGTGAGGTGAAGTCCTGAGTCTGCAAAGTTTCACTCATTTCTGTACTTTTTGGACCGCATTCTGTTAGAAACAAAAACAAACCTAAAGAAGTCACTGAGAGACCTTCTAGGGTTAACAAAACAGTAAAATGCTAAAATGCTAATCATTAGGGGTGTAAGAAAATATCGATACACTGAAATATCGCGATATTTCATTTCCCGATACTGTATCGATATTCTAAAGCCCTGTATCGATTTTTTTTTTTGATGTTTAAAATGTCAACTTTCCTGCCAGCCGTTCATTTTTATGTTGTAGTTCAGCCTCTGACCACTAGTTGGCAGCAGTGAGCCAGCCATTTGGCTCCTCTACCTCTTGAGCGCCAGAGAGTAAGGGTAGCATTAGCATTGTGAGTAAACATTAGCTTTTCTTCTTTTTTTTCCAATAAGAGGTTTTTATTTAATAGAATTTTTGGACAAAAAAATCGCAATATATCGCAATATATCGCCTTGCTTACAGTATCGCAATATATCGGGATATATCGTATCGTGACCCCTCTGCTATGATATGTATCGTATCGCCAAATTCTTGCCAATACACAGCCCTACTAATTATATGACTCGGCGACTTCTTCTGATGCTGTGCGAATAAAAACTACATTTAAATACAAAGAAAAACTTCTGCTTTATGGAAATATTTTGTGTCCTCCTGACTCAAAACATCTCATTAAAACTGTAAGAGCTCAACGGACTGAAACTCAGTTCAGTCCAACACGTCTCCGTTGAATGATGTGATCGACAGAGACGTGAAGAAGAATATTTACTTTAGCTGTAAAAAGTCAACGACCTGAAGTAAACTTTATAAGCGATAAAAGGAATGAAACTGGAACCTGTTTCTACTGGTTTTCATACTCAGTTCACATTTTTTTACTTGTTTTAATCAAACTTCAGAACGTTTTGATTCATTTCACTTTCTGCTGTAACATAAAAAGATTTCTTTCTTCCTTTTTTTAATTTGTTGATCGAATCACAGACGTCTCATAAAGCAATTTGTGTCCATTTTAATAATCAAATAACTCGTCAATGCTTTAGTTAAAGCTGTAAATAAAACTCTCACTGTTTTTAAAGCTGCATTAAAGCTGTTTTAACGAGTTTCCCTTTTTTAACCGACTTCCTCTTTAACCAGAGTTACTGTTAAAAAGAAATATTTGTTTTTTTTCCTGTTATTGACAAGTTATTAGAAGCTCAGATCAGATGAGCAGGTTTTTATTCTGTGCTGCAGTAAACTGTTGAAACTTTTAATTTGTATGAATGCTGAGTCAGCATCACGCTGTTGTTTTACTGATTATCAAATCACGTCTGCAAACTTTTTTAACCATTCCTACATTAAAACAGCTGTCTCTATCAGGAATAACATGATCTGACTTTTAATATTTATAACTTCCACACTTTTTGAATTAATTCATTTTATTTACCAACACTTTACTCAGAGACATACCTTCAGATCTTTAATTTAACTTCTTTAAAACATATTTTATACCTGTTTTTGTCTTATGCTCCTTTTAGCTTTTTGCTACTCGTGCTGATTTAGAGTTTAGCTGTTTTGCTACATCAGGCTTTTGGCTGCGATTTTGCTAATTTGAGCTCTTAGCAAATGTTTAGCATGGTTTTGCTACATTTAGCTTTTAGCCACTCTTTTATAAGTCATGGTAACCTTAACAATATAGCTGATTTGAGCAGTTTAGCTACAGTGTTGCTAATTTGAGCCCATAGCAAATGTTAAGCATGGTTTTGCTACAATTAGCTTTTAGCCACTGGTGTAAAAAGTTAGTTTTTAGCTACTGTTTTGCTAACCTTAACAGTATATCTATCTAATTTGAGCTTTTTAGCTACAGTGTTGCTAATTTGAGCTCATGGCGAATGTTTAGCATGATTTTGCTACATTTAGCTTTTAGCCTCTGTTGGAAAAATATTTTTAGGTACTGTTTTGCTAACAATTATCAGTATACTGTATCTATCTCATTTGAGCATTTTAGCTACAATGTTGCTAATTTTGAAACCTTAGCAAATGTTTAAGATGGTTTTGCTACATTTAGCTTTTAGCCACTGGTGTAAAAAAGTTAGTTTTTAGCTATTGTTTTGCTAACCTTAACAGTATATCTAGCTAATTTGAGCTTTTTAGGTGCAGTGTTGCTAATTTAAGCATATAGCAAACATTTAGTATGGTTTTGCTACATTTAGTTTGTAAATTTCCTTTTTTTTTAGCTACAGTCTTGGTAAACTTAAGCTGATTTGAGCAGTTTAGCTATAGTGTTGCTAATTTAAGCACATAGCAAATGTCTAGCATGGTTTTGCTACATTTAGCTTTTAGCCTCTGTTGCAAAAATATTTTAGCTACTGTTTTGCTAAAAATTAACAGTATATCTAGCTAATTTGAGCTTTTTATGTGCAGTGTTGCTAATTTAAGCTTATATCAAACATTTAGCATGGTTTTGCTACATTTATTTTGTAAATTTCATTTTTTTAGCTACAGTCTTGGTAAACTTAAGCTGATTTGAGCAGTTTAGCTAGTGTTGCTAATTTGAGCTCCTGTGTCTAGCATGGATTCACTACATTTAGCTTTTAGCCTCTGTTGCCAAAACAATTTTTAGCTACTGTTTTGCTAACCTTAACAGTAATTTGAGTTTCTTTTAGCTACAATGTTGCTATTTTGAGCTTACAGCAAATGTTTTGCATGGTTTTGTTTTTGTTTTTTGATTAGTAGTAATAAAACCCTTCAGTATACATAATTCTTTTAATAATTAGTTTTATTCGATCGTTAGTCCAAACCTGTCCAACTGTTTATAGAAAAGGTCAAAGATCATCTGATTAAATAATCTGTTAATATGAGTTTTTCTGCTCTCACTCCCTGCAGATTAGGAGGCTCTGAAACATGTAGGAGCTATTATTAGTGAGAATCCTGATAAGAGGACGACTTGTTGATGGAGATTCAGCAGGAGAACCAGGCTGGGGGGGTTTAGGAATGCTGAGCGGTTCTTAAAGTCCAAACCAGGATGGTTCTCAAATCTGAAGGAAACATGAAGAATTAAAGACACTTGAAAGCATCATGATAAAAAAAAAACTGCAGTCATTTTATCTCCTGTGTATTTTTGGGAGTCAGTAAAACATCTGGCTCCAGGGGTCCGGTGTTTATTAAAGCGCTCTCCTTCCATCAACATTTGCCTTTTAAAGCCTGTAAAGTTTTAAATTTCTCCTCTGCCTGTGTTCCTCTCCTTTTTAAAGTTTCCTTCAGTTCAGCTGCTGGAAAAAACACACGTTAGGAGAACACGACAAAAACACAACAGCTGTATTCACAGTTTTTTTTTTAATCTGCAGGTCGTTCTCTGAAGGATGGAAACTGTTGCGCAATAACTCCTGCCTCCCTCCACTGTTTCTGAGTGCATCATGGTGAGTACAGAGCTGACGTTTCCCACCTTACAATTAAAATATGACATTAAAAAATGAGCTAGTCAGCATTCAACAAAATACTTTTAGCACAAAATAATATGTGACCTTTAAAAAACATTCTGTGGAGTTCAGTTTTAGCAGGAAAGACGAAGTAATTTCAACGTTTTAAATACAAAAAGGGATGTTTAGTCACTTTTTTTTCCCTCCTGTAAAGAAGCGGTCAGGTTTGATAATGAAGCAGTGTTCAGCTGAGGAGCAGGAGGCTGCTGATAGTACAGGGGAGCCATTCATGAGCGCGACCTTTGACCCGTGAAGCCAGTCACAGGTGACTCCGACACAGGGATACTTTTACACGTCTTTGTTTACCTGGAATAACTGCAGTACCTGTTTGATGGCTCGTTTAAAGGGCGGTGAGTTCAAGGGCAGTCGGGACATTCAACCGTTGCGTCTGATAATGTTGAAAATCACCTCTGCTGTAAAAACAAAGTGTAATTTTAGTACACAGACTTGTAGATGTGACGGTTTGTTGTCAGAATTAGTCAAGTTTAAAGTAATTTTTGACCTCAAATGAATAAAAAAGCAAAATCAAAACAAACAAAAAAAAAACATTAAAACTTTTATGAGACCTGGAGAATCATTGACTAAAACCACTTTCAAACATTACAGGGAATCTGGCTCCTTGGAAGCAAAATAAAAAGAAAAGTAGGATTATCATAGCGCCGTATGGGTTGATGATCAGTTCCTGTTAAAACGTTATCGCTCGCCGATTGAGGCAGAGGTGCAGCAATAATGTGTTTGTGTAATAATCACTGGGTCGGTGTCTATGACAGGTTATGATTACTTAATTGTAGTTAACTTTTAATTTATTTTCATTTTTAGCCAACTCAATTTAAGATGGTTACTAACAACCAGTTTTAAAGATAATGTGCTAAAATCTATGGAGGACCAAATCTGTCATAGTTAGAAATAAAAGCAGAAACTTATAAGTAAATACACTTAAAGGGCTTGTGACATGGTCATCCTTCAAATACAAAAAGTCAAAGAAAAGCATATTTATATTTAAGAAAATGATCATAATACACATGATTTTACCCGTTTTGTCTCATAACTGGCATAATTTCTCTTGAATTTGGCTCAGCAAAGTGAAACAGGAAGTGACATCAAAGGGGAACTCTTTAAGAGAAGAAATTCTCTAGTCTTTGTTTATTGAAACAATCTTTTTTTAAACTCTTCTCCAACTCTGAAAGTGACTCAAACTAGTCTAAAGAAACATCAGATTTTTCTCTAATTATTGTGGCATTGCTCTCTTTACATGCAGACATTCCCCTTTGACATCACTTCCTGTTTCTTTACTTGCAAATCTCTCAACAACTGTTCATCTCAATGGTGTGAAATTTGTTTTGCAATGTGTGTTTCCACTGACCATGTAAATGCGCAAATTAGAATTTCGAAAATAAATTTGCTCAATGGAAACACGTCAGTTTCGAAAAATTTTACTTTTTTCGACAAAATGTTTTTGCGCTAGGATGAGGTGGTTTTTTTAGCCGTATCGAAATTGGTGTTTTTCGCAAAACTGCAATGGAAACACTTTTTTCGCATCACGGGAGTCACGTGATCAACAACCGGCTGTTTCTACTGGCGAATAAGATGACGACGAAGAAGCTAACAGGAAGTAGCATTATTAAAATCATCAAAGTTGTAAAAGAAAGTAGTAAACTCACCGACTACAATTTCCCAAAAACGCCGCAAACGTAGCCGCTCACAAATATGAGCGGCTCGCCGCTCGAAAGCCTCGAAAACACGCCGACGTCTCCTCTGATGATGAGCGCTAGTGCCGTAGTAGCATTAAGCATGTGTTTACATCCATCGCCGCCATGTTTGTAATATTTGTAATGGCGAGAACAAACAAATTCACGTGTGACTTTAATAGCATGTCTTACTTAATCAAAACCCCACAATTGGAAAAATGTGTTTTTCGACATTAACAGAATATCGACAAAGTTTTGCGCACATTTCTAATGGAAACGCAGCTACTGTTCTCTTTTCCAAAAACGCATTCACATTTATCACAACTATTTGATATCGCGGGCACTTTAAATGCACCAATTAACTAAAAAAATTTATATTATAAGATTTTTTTCTTCTTTCTGGCGCCTTTCATTTTATTTGTGATTTGTGTTTTTTACATATATTTGGCTGTTTTTAAAGAAATAAAAGAAATAAATAAAATAAATAAATAAGATAACTTTACCTCATGTTTTATCATTTAATTTTCCAGCCTAGTTTCAATAAATTATATCTCTCTATATATATTTCTGCTTTTATTTCTAATTATGTCAGTTTTTGTCCTCCATAGAAACCTAGTGTGGTAGTAGTCAATATACTCTGAATGATAACTGTTTTATTTATTTATTTATTTATTTATTTATTTATTTATTTATTTATTTATTTTTTGTTCTTGTGAAACCAGATCAGATGTGTATCTGGTGCTTTTGGTCCTTTAAAATAACTGAGACTTTAAAGTGATGCACGTTAACACTGCGTGTGTAGAGGAGGTGTTAGTGTACGTTAAAGGAAAAACCAAATTAAAAAAACAGGAAAGTGGGTCATTGTTTTCTTTTGGTGAAGGTGGTTGAAGTTAAACCTCGACACGGTCTGATTCATCCTCTCTGCTTTTCTTTCCCACTGCGGTTTGAAGCCAAGTGCGAAACCTTCTGACCTGTTTTTGCAGGAAGCATCGATGTGATTTAATTCCAAAGTGCAACTCGGTTTATAATTTTAAAACTGTTCTGTTTTATCAAGCTACACAAAACGAACAGCTAAAGCAGTATTATTGCTTACGGTGAATGAAATTTCACTTGCAATCCACCCTAGCTTGCCCTCGGTCAGTGTCACGCTCAAATCTGTCCCCCTGGGAACATAACATGACTGTCAATCTTTTTGAATTCAAGATTTTAACAACATTTCATGTTTGATTCATACATATTATTTATGGGTCTTTTCAAATCATTTGTGAAACTAAAAGTTTTGTAACTTTTCTTGTGTTTTAGCTGATTTTGATAAAGGTAGGTAATCGGGAGGAAGAGAAGAAGAAGGGAAAACTAAATTGTATCAGTTATAAAGGGAAAATAACATCGTCAAGTGTTTTTGTTTTAAATTACTCGTTGAGTCTGGAGAGAATTTTTGCAGTTTCTTCATTTGTGGTTAGAATAAAGTTGTTCTGCTAATAAATCAGTAAACATATTTGTCGAATGAAGTCAGTGTCTGAATCCTGCTGGGTTTGATTCTCAGCCTCAGTGAGACGTGTTTTTGTTCTGTAACTTGTTTTTTAAAAGCTGAGAGGTATCAAGTGGTTCATTGAAATAAAAAATGGTAAGCTAAACAGACACGTGCAGCTAAACTTGCAGAACGTCAGCCGCTAATTTGCCTTCAGTAGAGACAGCCAGTGTCTGTTTTAAAACCACATTTTCACAAACAATGGGCCTCATGCAAGAACATGTTCGTATTCTTCTCCTAAATTTCTCTTACTTTTGTTCAAACAAAGGGTTTGTACGAACATGTCTCGTCAGATTCAACAAACTCTTCTATCTTCAGGAAAAGTGTGTAAATGAGCTGCGTAAATTACACCTGTTCGTATCCAGCTGCTCGTGCACGCGAGAGGAGATTAGCATAATTACCACCCCAAAAACACCATATAAGGCTGTGTGTCCTGCCTCAGATACAAGGAAGTGTCCAGAGCTAATACACACACACACACACACACAC